GGAGCACATTTACTTAGAAGTAAGTCCTATTGAATTCAAGAAGTTTTACCTCTCTAACTTTGCAACCAGAGTTCTTAATATTTGAAAGCTTTTCCTGCTAACAATACAATTTTGACATTTCCATCCTACCTCTAGAATGAAACATATAATAGAACTTTAGAACCATACTGGATCAGACTGGAGGTGTATATAGTTCAGCATTCTTTTCCCATAGTGGGCAGCCAGTTGCTTGAACAAACCCACATGAGTACAGTAGCACTTCCTGCTTATGTTCCCTAGAAACTGGTATGCTCTTACCTCTAGGAGCCATTGATAGTCTTATCCTCTGAGAATTTGTCTAATCAGTCTCCTCTTAAAGCTGTGCAAATTGGTGGTTGTGCCTACGTTTTGGTGATTATGTAAAGGCTAAGGATGTTTATGTAATTTTTAAAGCAAATTCTGTGTGGTTGCATTCTTAGGAATGAAAAAAAATTAAAGGGTGAACAGAAATATCTTGCATTTTAACTTGCAGTATAGTGGTTGATTTTCAAATGAATGCAAATATTCTATATAAGTTATAATGGCCAGATATCTACCATTTGGAGGCCATTATACTCTGGGGAGCACTCAAACACGTGTCTGAAACAGGCTTCTTGAGAAAAGACCATCTCACTTGAATCCATGATATGTGAGCAGAGAACAATGAAAGCAGTGGTGTAGGTCTGTAAGAGTTGCTAAGATTAAGAGAGAGAGAAAAGAGAAATGCTTTGGAGTTAGTAGCAACTTGACTATTTTTCTGGATACCATTGAAACAGTGTTGGCATGTGCTGGGCAAACAGTCATGACATGGACAAACTTATATTGTCAAGACGAAAAGGGACTACTTCTTATCATCCCTAGTAATTAAGAAGAAGATGGAAGATTAAGTGATGTACATGTTACAGTAGTTAGCTTGCAATGTTATTAAGCTTTACATATTTTAGCATTAAGCTTCATATATTTTTCAAGGGTCTTGCACAAAGAATTGGCATCACTGGATAGACTTGTTATGGATGGCATAAATACTTGCAAGTCTGGGTGATGAAAAGATTTGCAACATTCATTATTCTGTTTCCTGCAATACATTCCCCAATGTTGTCTATATTTCGTGATGCTTGTGTCTGGTTTTATTCTTTAAGCAGTTGGGGCTGCGTTACTGTGTTACAGGTTGGAAAGCCCAAGTACCCTACAGGAGGCCACCTGTCTCGAGGTGCAGCATGTGAAAACAACTCAGTGCTTAGAGAGGATGCAAAGAATAATGAACTGCATGCTGCTTTTAAGAATGACCAAATGGTAAGAAATGTTGTATTTACTTTTATATAGTGTTTTAATGCCACTAGTTTAGCAATCTGCTATTTTAGCAAATTGGTATTTTCAGTCCAGATGTATGAATTTGATGTAAATAAGTAATGACATTCTAGCTAAATGCTTCAAAATGTAATACTATTGTGGCATTGCAAGGATTTGGAGAGATACTAGTGCAAATGCTTCTAATGATTAGGATTAGAGCCCCAGTGATTAGAGGATGTAGAGGTATATCACTTAATTACATTGGTCATATAGTGATTTTTTTTCTTCCTATACTTACATAGTATGGAATACTCTCAAAGGAACCCAGATGTGTATCTATTTTATTTGAAATTGCCACTTGTGCTAATATAGCAGCACCTGTCTTTAGGAAATCTATCCAATTCAGAAAAGACAGTGATGGCCATCAATTTGGATGGCTTTAAAGGGGAATTGGACAAATTCAGTGGTCTTCAGTGGCTACTTGTTTGATGGCAATACACTACCTCCAGTTTCAGAGGCAGCATGACTGTGTATCATGGTTGCTGGGGAACATGTATAGGAGGATGCTGTTGCACTCATGTCTTGCTTGTGGGGTGGCAGGGACAGCTGTGGGAATGGAAGGCTGGAATAAATGGAACCTTAATCTGATCTAGCACAGCTGTTCTTTGGTTCTTATTTATTAGCATGTACATCATTATGCTGCTTTATTATTTCTGTATGTATGCTATATTACACCCTCCTAGTTCTCTTCATTGATCTTTCTTTCTACCTCTTAAAATGAAATTTCTTCTATATAAACTCTTTCCTTTTCTCTCTCTTTCAGTTGCAGTAAGGGTCCTGCCTTTTGAATTCTTGCTCATGATGTCAAGAATTAAATACGATGATGACATGATAACATTTGTTTAGGCTAGGAGTCTCAATATTTTAGCTCAAGTAGTTTAAAATGTTTGTATATAAAGTACTATCTGTGTAACTTGTGCAGTACTGAAGTCAACATGAGCACCAGTGTACGTTATGTTGCACTAGCATAAGGGATCTCTTGTGCAGTGTCGATAGTATTAGCTTTTGACTATTCCCTGTAGACTTGGATACTGCTACCTATGTAAATAAGAGTTTTTAAAGTAACCTAATAATATATTTAACCATGCTGCTTTTGGAGTTTGTTTTAGAAACTACAGGAGGAAAATATAAGAATAAAGAATGAATTAGAAGATTTAAGGTACTGATATACGTTGATTCTAGAGAACAAGAATATAAAGCTAGCTGAAAATTCTGTTTTATCAATGAAGTGTCCTATAGTAAACTGAGGATGATCAAGCTATGGCAGAGCATTCTTAGAAATAAACAGAATGAAGACCATTTCTTGTACAGGCCCATAATATTAGAAATATATTGAACCTTCAAAGTTATGTCCTGTGCAGTTTATTATTTATTTATTACACTTACACACCACCCCATAGCTCAGAGGGCTCTCTGGGTGGCTTATAAATTTAAAACCATAGAAACTAATAAAAGTAATTGTATTTAAGTATCACATTAGCCAATAAAACCAGTAAAACAGCATCAACACCCCACCGCAACAATGGTCAAGATTAACATACGGCACAGCAGCAATAATCATAGAACCAGTAGTAAAATGAGCACTTATCTGTTACAGTTTCTGGAAAATAAGAAGGTTTTCACCTGGTGCCAAAAGGAAAGCAAAGAGGGTGCCAGGCATACCTCTGTGGGGAGAATGTTCCAAAAATTGGGATGCAACTACTGAAAAGACCTTTCTCCTGGTCACCACCTCCTTACTTCTTTTACAGAGGGGATTCCCTGAGAAGGACCTCAGTGAATAATCTTAGGGACTGGGTAGGAACATATGGGACAAGGTGCTCTTTCAGATAACCTGGTCTCTAGCTGTTTAGGACTTTAAATGTAAGAATGGGCACTTTGAATTTGGCGCAGATTTCAACTGGCAGTCAATGCATTTGAAAGAGGACTGACATGATCTGATCTTGTGGTCCAGGCCCCTTTAACAGCCACAGTGCCCTGTTCTGAATCCATTGGAGTTCCTGGACCATTTTAAAAGGCAGCCCCACAAAAAGCATATCAGCCCTCATCCAGTCCATTATTGAGTCTAGACTCTGATTCAGAAGTCACTTCCTCTCTTGAGTTTGATTTAAAAAAGAGATAGAGCTGAATGTCATCTGTATATTGCTGGCACTTCAGTCCAAACCTCTGGAGAAACTCTCCCAGTGGTTTCATTTTATTTATTTATTTATTAAAACATTTCTATGCCGCCCCTTGCCAAAGCCTCGGAGCGGCTTACAACACAATAAAATACAATAAAATACAAAAATAACAATATAAAATTAACAATATAAAATAAATAACAATGTAAAAGAAGTCGCCCTGGCCAGATAAATAAGCAAATATTGTTAACAATTAAAATGACGTTTAAATAAAAAGGTCTTCACCTGGCGCCGTCGTTATTTGTTTTTCGGCGCCA